CCATAGTTGCACATAAGCTCACACTGCAAGTTTTCCAAGGCACACATTTGCAGATATCAGCATGATTTCTAGTTCAGTTTCACAAGCCCCGACATGGGATACAATCTCTCACACAGTGTTCTGAACTTTAACATTAAAAATGAGGAGGTTAAAATACAGGTCTGGCCAACACCCAAGAAGCAGAAAAACTAACTATTTTTGAATCACCCCAACCTTATACTATAATGCTGATTAGCTACAAGCTTCACTTGTTACATAATTACTTAACCCGCTCAGGCAGCCAGCTCCCCAGGTGTAGTATTCAAGCAAAATTACGCAACCCAAGCCTTCTTGTTTCAATTCAAGTCTAAATGCATCTGATATACTAACAAACATATAAAAGCATACACCCATACACATAACAATAGTTCATAATAGACTATCCGAAGTTCTATTTCTTTTCACGTATTGATAAAAATGAGTTCTGCTGCAACATGAGCTTCACAAATAAAAATTAAATGATACTATAGTTAGAAAATAACCAACGAGCTTCAATACACTACGGATTATGCCTCGCCTGTGTGAAATGATCGCTTGAAACTAAATCAAATATTATTTATTTATCAAACAATAGATACATGAAATACAGTGGCTTTGTCACCAAGATAACCCCCAATATGTTGTTTGAAGACAAATGTCAAATAAAAGACATTGATACGCGTGAACAGCGAGATCCTATTACGTAAGTTATCTTTCTCTTCCGATAGTTTAAGGCTGAAAATAGAAAAAACCAACACGAAAATATAAAAAGAAGGAAGTGTTCTTTTATCTAACGGCGGCGTCCTATGAATTATTGGGCTAGCAATGCGAGCAATGCGGGACGTCTTTTCGCGTATATATATATATATATATATATATATATATATAAATATACTGCTGGGCAAAAGAAATATACGCCCTTTTTTGGTAGTGGCTAAACTTTGAAACAAAACAAGAAATTGTTATTCGGTGAGGATATATTGTTTGATAGGCATTACTTAGAAGTTGACGGATGACAAAGTAGAGACAATATATGGATAACAACTTCTTTATTGACTGTAAAGGCGACGTCTCCGTACAGAACCATGGGCCGTTGTCAAGCAAGGATCAAAACCGAAACGTCACCTTTCCAGTAAATAAAGAAGTTGTTATCAATAAATTGTGTCGACTTTGCGATGGGGATATATTTGAAACGGATGTCACAGTTGTGTTTTTGACCTTACATTTGCAGCGTTTCGGTGACTGATTCAGCCTAACGTTTTGATAACGTTTGTAAGTTGTTTGTCAAATCCAATTTTCAAGTTTACACCTTTTTTTTGGCCCGGCCGTTTATGTATATGGAATGAGAAGAATATGTGACATACACGTACATACCACCAGCAACACGTGACCTCATCATAACATGGCTGTCACAGCTGGAGTGACAGGTGTCTAGTCTCCAGCCAACTGTGTATTGATTAATGAAACTTGAAATGGTTTGACATATAATACGGACCAACAAGGTCAATCGTTATGATGGGCATGGCGCTTTAGGCTTGGTCTAATAGGAGGAAATCCATATCACCTACCTACGTTTGATCATTACCCAACTCTAGCCCTAAATCCTGGTCCTCATATCGTATTACCATCTTATTATTGTGTCTCTTTGTTCTCCTTACAAGGGAATAGTTTCTTCACGATCCAACCTGGGACACGTGTGTCGCGCTTTTGAGTTGATATGACATGACCTTTTGCAAGGGACGGTAGGGTAGCCCAGTAGTTAAAGCGTTAGCTCTCAGTAGTGAAGATTCTGATTCGTTTCTCCGCATATTTCGGTATCGTACGGTGTGATGTGGCGGGGATAAAGCGAAAAGCGATACAAACCAAACTCACTCAAATAACTGCACAACTGCTAAATATCATATTTTATACAAACAATCTGAGGCAGGGGTATGCGTTTTCTTCAAATGTGAAGTTGAAAGTGTGTGGGAGAAGGCATGAGACATTATCCTGTATTTTCTCACGCCCCGTCTCTGACGGAAGGATACGCTCACCTTTTCGCAAATACCTTGTATCATCACTATTTGATAGTGATTTATAATGCTGATGGTACTGTCGAAGTCGAGTATGAAAAGGGTTTTGCTGCTTTTATTCTAATGCCGTCTTGTCACAAGTCATGTTGTTTCAATAAATCAACGTCAACAACAACAAAACATATGAATCACAAGTGATTTAGTAGGTACAGTGTTGACAAATTCATGCTTCCTAAAATGTTCATTCATCGTAATAAATGTTCATACTTGAACCAGGATGCCAAAGCTTTACCCCCACCATGACGTCATGCTTTAATAAAGCAATACAACAATGGCGTACCTGTATATACACAAAAGTGACGATAACCAAGGGCGGATCCGGCATTTTTAAAAGGGAGGGGACCAAAATATCAGAATCCCCCCTCAGTCAATTTTACTGCCTACAACATACTACCACATTTGGTTTTCAAAAGGGTTGGGACCCCCTGGCCCTTCTCTTTATCCGCCTATGCGATAACAGCCCGTTGCCGCGAATTAACAAGAAATTGAACGATTCGTAGTGGTAACACATCATTCATAGAAAGACATTTAACCCTCAGGGTTCTCTTTCACCGTTAAAGAAGTTGAAGCTAAATATATTCCATTTAAGTCTATTTTGACTAGCCTTTCAGACGTAAAACTAAATTTATGTAACGCTGAAAACCGAATAATACATTTCAAAAAGCCGAAACGGTATTTGAATGAAATGAAATGCATAAACATTTGCTATTGCTTCTTTACGCGCAAAATATGGCCGATCATTATCGCGTGTATTGTCATGACATACTCAGCAAACACTATCCCCGCGAAATGATATCAATGTAAATATATAAACTAAATGGGCTTCCACCATATAAACGTTTTCATCGTAAGCTTCATCGATCGTGTCTCCAAAACATCATGCAATGTATTACATCTAAAACCTTCCGGGGCGATGGGGAACATAGCAGTTGAGGCGTTCGCTCTCTCGCCTGAAGGCCGTGTTCGATTGTGTGAAGCCTATTTCTGGTGTCCCCCGCAGTGATATTGCAGGGATATTGCTAAAACGGCGTAAAACCTCATTTATTCACTCACTCCAAAACCTTCTGACTTTAAAGGTCAAATAGTTAATTCTGCAAATTGTGACCCTCCCTTCCTCCCCGCACTGAAGAGGTCAGCCGCCATGTCGCTGAGGCGTTCAACAAGGCATACACAAGGATCACAAGTAACAGCATAGCTCTAGTTAGCTGTCTCTGTTATTGTATTGATTGCTTCCCGAAGTTCTGCAAGGCAAATACATCGGGAAACGCTTCAGTCAATAGACGCAGTTTTATAAGACGCCTGGGGCGTGTAGGCCTCAATTCAGTTGTATTTATCCTCTTTAGTGATCATTGTACGTTGTCATGTCTTTTGAATTAGTTAAATTGCCTCGTTCTTCTTCTCAAGTTAGACGATACATCGATCGATATGTAAAAATTGGAATCATAGTACAAAGTGTGTGCGTTACATTGGATATATCCTGTCCTTATTTGAGATTACGTTTTACCTGAACGTCTCCTGGTTATGAGTTTAGAAGGAAAGTTTCATTATGTCCTGTTTGAAGTGACACATTGGCTGGTAAAACCTAGGATCAAACAGAGGAAACCATAGTAACCAACTAAAGAGGGTGATATACATATCAAAATAACAAATCGATAACCATGACAAGCGTCTCACAATTGAGTGTATACATCTGCATGCGACATTAGTGGCAATTACTATTGAACTGAATGTTTGTTCATCCTCCAACACGAACACAACTGTATGTGTGTTTTGTCTATGTCCATGTAACCATCATTCCCGTACATACTTTGAACACGTGTTCAGTGCGTTTTGACTGACATGGAAATCTACTTAAGAGCTTGAACCAAATTGACATTCTCGAGGGATTTTATAACGATTTATTTGAAGGATATAAAATAAGTCTTCATGTTCTTCAGATCAGTCGTTTGTTGGGGTGGGTTTCGCTTGATCATGAGTGAGTGAGTGAGAAAGTTGGGTTTAACGCTACTTTTAACAGTATTCCAGTTATATCGCGGCGTGTCAGCTTAATGTGGGAGGAAAGGCCGAAGTGATGCAGGTCTCAAACGTTTACCACTTCGGTTAAACCCACGAGCACGGGTATGGTGCTGACAAACCTAGAAACATAATCGGGGCGAACCGGGATTCGAACCCACAATCATAGGTTTCTGGCGTGCCCAAGGGACGCAACTCTGCACAGCGATTCGCGGCGCCTTAGACGACTGGGCCACCCTGCCCCCCGCTTGATCATGTGATTTACATGCCAAAGTTGAGAACTTTAAGTTTAATATCACACATGCTTCAATTTTTTGTTCACCGTTCCTTTTTACTTCCTTGAAGCAAGTTAGGACTATCATGACAAGGTTACGCATTTTCGATGTATGTCTCTGGTTATTGAATATTATTGCCCCCATTGCAATTGCAACAAACCACTAAAAGTTATAGTATGTGTTTTGTATAGATCCTGTGAAGGGAGGTGCAGTGGTTGGCCCATTGGTCAAAGGCGCAGTAAATCAAGGTGGCACAGTTTTAAGGATTGGCTTCCTTGATTTGTCAGCTGCATTCACGGAATTTTTGACTACACTAAAGTTGTAAATGTCCATGTCAAGTATCATCTTTGGATTTCCTACATAATCTAAGACGCCAAATACAGTTAAAAGCAGCGTTATGTTCAGAACATTTGATTAAATTTTTAAAGTAAACGTTTCTATTGGCACATTGACCGAATTGTTTGTGACAAATAAGTATTTCAGAAATTGTACATTTGTTTTTCAAGGATATTGCTTTTGACGTATACGCGTTTGATTTCTCTCTCTTGAAGGCAGCACCACAACTTCAACAACGCTATTGATTATCAATAGGAGATATTATTTACACGATAATTCTTTTCAGAATGATTCCAAGAGAAAGCCTTGGAACATAGCGACGACACACAATGCGTGTCACCACAAAGGTCGAGGACTATGACAGCGACAACACTTCTTCAACCATGGCTCAACGATGTTCTGATTTTTTGAAGAGGAAGAAAAGGATACTTATTTGTCTCATTGTCTTGTGTCTTTGTACCATGTATATTACACATAACTACACAGCTGGGTATGATTCATCCTTTTCAAACCTACATATACTATTTGGAGATAGTGTCTATCATAAACCAAGAAGGAAATGTCCCAATGTCCTATCGTCAATGTTGAAGGGTACCTGGAAAAAGAGGAAACTGACCTATCTAGAAGAAACGGAAATGGAACTGTTCCTTTTAAAGACTCGTGGTGGACACAGCATACCGATGACGCTTGATCGCCTGGATGGACGATGTGGAAACGTGACGTTTGATTCGATGGCGTCATATAAGCTCCACCCTTTACTTTGGTTCCGTGCGCTGTGTAACCCAAGGGGAGATAAGCCATGTTGTTTTAATGGCATGTGTGTCAGAGCAACTGAAGAGCAGTGTCGCTGCCCTGACTGTTATGACATGCGACAACAGATTCATGCAGAGTATGCTACATGGACACCTGCTAACCCAGACTGCCAACCAAAGCAATACACACAGGCAGAAGCGTGTAGTCTTCTCAAGGGGAGTTTACTCTATATCACTGGAGACTCATTTATACGTCACATCTATACGGCTCTCATATTATTGCTGAGAAATGATTATCAACACGGGGCAATACTTCCGACAGCATCAGAGGGTATGTTCATCGCTATGATTTCATCAACGTTAATGACACGGGATGATATATATGGAATACTGTTCAAAGCGGCGTTCCGCCATTGTCATTCAATTACTTACCATTAAAGGATATGTGTAAACCTATATGTCTCTATTGTAACGTATAAAGTTGTCATGGTACGTATAACGCACTATAATGTACAGCACTCCAACTCCATCATTTTTCATTTAGTAAGTTTGATTAAACCCTTTACATCATATAAATACCTGCCTCAGAAACAGACCAGCGAGCATCCATATAAAACCCTTCCTCAGGGGTAGTGAACTTGTTATCAGTAGACTGACATACACATAGTCAGTCTGATACAAATTTGCGTAAATTCACGACGTTTGAAGCCTTTCTGGACGCAATGTGCGAACAAAACCGATATATCTAATAATCTAAGAATATGAGCAACGAGTGTAACTTTTCGCCCAAAGACAATGGAATCAGTTAAAACTTGTCAATACCTCATAAAATTTTTGGTCCAGGGCCTTTTAAAATATTTTATCATCAAGTAAGATCTCGCTTAGCCGGACGTGTTCATGTCGTGTTTCCGGGCGGTTATTGATGCTCCGTAATTCGGATTAACCTTTAAGACATTTTACTCGCACCATGGCTACAGTGTTCTAATCAATAAGCTGCAGTAAACTAGATTTTTCTTGTAATAATATGCTGTGCTGTGCATGTCATCTCTGTTTTATGCCAATGATACATCATGTGACTTTTTCCGTTTCAGTTTTGAAGAAAGAATGCCAGGGAATGTACATGTTCACAGAAAAGGTGTGTAGACAATGGTTGGACAGACGGGTGTCAGTCTGCGATGGAACAGTTAACGTGGTCTTCAACGAACAAATAGCATCAGCATACGGCGCTTCCTTACCACGACTTACGCACAGCTTAGCAAACACCAGTAAATCCCTTCTAGTCATTGGCATAGGGATACATGAAAATTATAATCCAAGACCCATAATGTTTTCATATTTACATCCCTTGTTAGACTATCTTTTCAAATCCAAACAAGCATGGCCCAGAGTGTTATGGGCGGGGCCTCATGCTCCAGGAATTCTGAAAACTCCAAGCATCCCCCAACAGAATTACCAAAGTGTTCTGAACTATAACTCAGTTATCAACGACTATCTGACGTCGTGGAGTGTTCCTGTGTTTGATACGTTCAATCTGACGGATGGTGTGATGAGTTTTGATGGTGCCCACTATGGTCTCGGGGTAAACAAAGTCAAAGTGCAAATTCTGTTGAACTACATTCAAGAGCTTTCAGATAAAGGGATTTGGTAAAACGTAATGGCGAGTAACCCTACTCTGTAATACCATGTTGAGATTTTGTTGCATAACGTTTCAATACATCGATAATGATAATACTTGCTGCTGCTTTCGAAAGGCTTCTACAGTTAATGTTTAAGTGCACACATTTTATTCCCGGTTGTTAACACGAATCAGTCTCCAGTGTGGGACTACATATAACCATAGTGTGTGACCAATGAGTCCTACATGACACTGACTAAGCTATCACAAAGATATATTTGTGCCAACATCGAAGTGGGGAGGTATAAACATATGACTATGATATTTTGTTAGGGTATGGTTAAATACATTGATAGCATTATTCCCCATGGCCAGTGATTTCAGATCCATGTATTCCTATGTAGAATCTCCCAGGGTTTTTACATATCCTGCCAGTCCATGTCACTTTGTGGTCAAAACGATCACATCAGACGCTCACCCTTAATCGCTCCTCGGTGTTGTTTGACCTACTGAAGTTTTCAAACATTCTTGCACGAATTTGTCCGTTGCTGGTGCAGATATTGCCTTTGACCAAAGTCCGGGAAGTGTACATGTACCTTCATACACACATTGACAGAGATCAGGGTCCAGTTGTGACTCTCCTAGTTGTCATTTAAACTTAGTGTGATGTCTGATACGCTTACACGTGTGTTTGAGGGACCAGGGCTAGCTTAACTGGTGGTTGTGTTTTGTACACAGTTGAAGGACTTGCCAAACTGGAAATAGTCGTCAAAATAGTATGCAACTAATTTTCAGTCATTAAAAATTAATAAACACAATGGCTATATTTTCTGGTGTACATCTAATGCCTTTGATGTGGCAAAAGGCATTATATTTATTTAATCATTCTGCATTCGTGTTGAATATTTGGCAATACATGCCTGTCAGTTGAATGACACATATTTGATGCTTAGTGTCTCGCTTGAATGGAGATGCACTTCGCGCTATTACTTTTATACGGCTGCATACGAAATTATTTACAGTTACTACAGTACAATAGATTTGGAAATCTACTGAAGACAAATGGACATTCTTTAGGGATTTTATGACGACACTTTGTACTGATATAAAATAAATAATTTTCATGTGATCACTATACCTAGACAGAGCATGTTTTTGTTTGATATAGGTCACAACATTGAGGGCCTCAGTAAAGCTTTCAAAAGGCTTTATGGTAGACATGTGGAGGACATCTCCAAATTTGACGCATCAGTTACAAAAAAAGTATGTCCGATGCAACTCCCTATCTTGTCTTGTACCGTGTTTTTTCAGGTGAACAATTGACTTACCTAATAGTATGCATGTGTGTGTGTGACGGGTGTCATCAGTGGGACACGCTACGCTGTTGTTGTGGAAAGGATTTTGTCGCTTTATTGAATACCACAAATAATGCGGAATACATTTGATCTCAATTGTTTGCATAGGTCGCCTCCTTACATGGCGTGAACGGTAGAATTTAGTTTTGAAACATTCACAGACAAAAACATATGTTATTGTTCCATTTTGTTTTACAGCAAGACACTAATAGTAATATATTGTCTTTGTATACAATCTGTGAAGTATGTGGTATATAATCCCATTTTGCAATTACACGTTTTCAGTTTAAGTTAAGTTCAAAAGCACCATCAACAAAATACCTATCTATGGATAGTGTATTGTATCTCAAAGTACAATAACATGATAACAACAACAACAATAATAATAACAACAACAATAACAACATCTTTGGGCCAGGCACGTAGATATACACTGCGGTCGTATTATTGTCAGATTGGATGTACGCCGCTTTCAGCATTATGTCAGTCATATGACGGCAGGGGACACATTGTACCCATGTTGAGAATCGAACCCGGGCTTCCGGCGTGACGTGCAACCGTTTTACCCACTGGGCTATCAACATATATACAATGTAAAATAAAAACAGATTATTACATGAGCGTATGTGCGTTATACAGATATTACTACACGAGTGTCCGTCAGATTCCATTCATCTTACAACGATTAGTTTCAAAACTTATCTGAAACGAGTTGCAAGATAAATGACATGTTTGCAGGCACCCGAGCAGTAATCTGTTTCTTACACACAATAATATCGCTCTATGTTAGCAGTGAATCGATACATATCTTTTCTATCTGACCTTAGCTCTGCACCATTGAGTAGACAATCACGGACCTGGAATTTGATCGTACATATATGTTTGATACCTTTTGTCTCAAATCTGTTTCTCATCCATAGGTATGTTAGAAAGTAATCTTGCTAAAACAAATGTCAATAAGCTCAGTATGGTGTCGATGAGAATATAATATCGCCTGTGTTGACCATACTTAGTAATTAATTATCGTAATTAAGAGGTGCCTTTATAGTACATACTGTATTGTGTATCTGACAGTGGCGTCATTACGACAACAACATGTATGCATTACGTAACAATGGTGTCTGCATTACGTCAACAACGCTGCACTGCGCGTGTGCAATCTTATTAACTCGCTGATCATCGTTAATAAATATTAACAAACAACATGTATTATCCATATAAGAATTGAACGTCAGTTTGGATGGGTTCACTGAAGTGTGAACGATTTAAAAGCGCTGGTTAAACTGTTAACCTCCGAGCTTGCGAAAGGTTCACACGAAAGTTTAACCACCGCTTTTAAATCGTTCACACTTCAATGAACCCATCCAAACTGACGTTCAATTCTTATAATTTCATACTTTGTAGTTAACTGGTCTCGCCAAATGATATCGTAACAATGTTTGTTTAAATTTGAAGTCCTCAGGTTTCGCCGAAGAACATTACAACAATGTTAGTTTGTCGGTATTTGCCGGCTTTCGGTAACATACGTTTCCCAACTCATACTCAGTAACATATACAACATAATCTAAAATATGTCAACATAATGTCATTCTCTGAACAAATTAACAAACAATATTTGGGATAAATCAAATCTTAAAAATAGGTTACAGGAAAGTGAACAAAAATATAAACATGACCTCGATGCACCGAGACGAGGTCAACCTTCAAGCGCGGATTTATATATATGACATCACATAAGTTTGTAAAGAGGTGCATTTCGAGTCGAACGGGAGCATGAGGCTGAAATTTATACTTACTGCTGTTGATAATGAAGTTTATGGAGCAGTTATTGAAAACACCCCGACGCGTGAACCCTCTCGTGGCCCATGAATGTATTGCTGGTGTTTGGATAATCGCAAACCAATTCGGACGTTGTGGACTGGACTGCTGGGGATTTGACGGAGTGCTCTGAAACTTGTGTGTTTTGTGTTAAGTTTCAGCGTCAGGGTGTGTTATATTTGGAGTTTTGGATTTGTCGTGTGTGCTGTAATAATTTGCTTAGCTGGTGTTTCTTGTCACCTGAGATGGACCTACTGTGAGCAATTTACACTACTTCTATCCAGCTCAGATCTCACCTTTTACGTGGCCAACACCTGCTATGATATTTTATTGAAGCGCCGATCTATTTTATATTTATGATGTATATATTGTATGTATATTCATTTTAGTATATAAGTTGGTATTATGATCTTATCGTCTCTCATAAGTCGTTTTACGACTGGCCGTAAGTTTTAAGCATGTTTTGATTTATATGTATACTGTACAATGTACCTTATGGGTGAGACGCAAATAAATTATTGTCTTGTCTTGTCTTGTCTTGTCTACTGTATGACCTAATGCCAGCTTCATTCCTGTGCCCCGTCATTCCTCAGGTGCCGCCTCTTCTCGGCCTAGAATGCACGGACTAGGTCGGCCAACTCAGAAACCGGAATAGTAATTTCGTCTACGGATTTTTTCTCGTCTCCGATGACCAATCGGTAAAACAGGTAGGCAAGTTTTGGGGTTTTTTTTAAATTTAAGTTTCTTTCCTTTTGTTTTATGGTTTCTTAAAATCTTAGAATTTTTTTTCCGATACGATAGTGAATCGGGTTTAAGTTTGGGATTGATCAGGAGCAGTCGCTTTGATCTGTGTCAGCGGCCACATCTGAGCAGGGTACAACATTGTTTTCATTGGTGTTAGATTCCTGTCTTTTCCGTCAATATCGCTCAATAACTCAATTTCGTTCACCTCAGTAATTTTACAGAATTCATTTTCTTCACTTGCGTTATTAGTATTGAAAGATCGCCACTCCATATCCACATCAGCGTAAGGACAATCCATTTCGTTTCATCAAGCAGCTTGACAACATTAAACACCAGAACCAAAGCATTTATTTAATTTTTTAGTCAGATGAAATGTTACAAGATAGGGCTAAAATACTAAATTAATTATATCCCTGACCATTCATGAATGCAGGGATTAAAAAGAAAATAGAAAAACGAGTTGATTGTAAACACCGATCGAGAATTCGGGAAAACCCCGGAAAGTAGTTCAGGCAAAAGTTCACACGATCAATTTCACAAAAAAATGTTCACATCGTGTGAACTTTTCAGTCCGTTCACAGGAGTGTGAACTCCAACTATAAGATCACATGACTGCCCATTCAACCAATCAGCATGAAAGAAACAGTGTAAACTTTAAAGAATGAAATTATTTAGACATGTACTAAATGTGTAATGCCATTAAACCTTAACAATAGATAGGTGTTTTGTTAATGGTGCTTTTGAAGCCTCAGGACTGCGTGAATATCCTTCCCTCGTCATGATATTCGTGGCTAAAGCTTACTGTCTTCAGACATTGTCTCGCTCCATTGTTGGGGGTGTCCTGATGAACCCGGAATGGAGACCCGAGGGTATGTAGGAGATAGCCTAAAGCAAAGTCTGTATAAATCTTTTCTTTTAAGTCTCACTGATCTCGTTAATGGTACTGCCTCTGTCATTGTTAACGTCAAGGTGACGTGTTATGTCAGGTGATTTATTACTTGTACAGACAGTCATAATTAATGATCCCTGTGAAAGCACTGACCAATCACTCACCCCAGCGACATAGGGTGAAGGGACGCTCTTGTATTACAAGAGCCGTGGAGAAGGATACGCACCGGACGGAATACACATATTTCATCGATTAAGGTTTGTTCTCTGATTTATCCTTCTGTATTGGTTTGATAATGGGAATGTCTGAATCATTTATGATGTATCATATTTAGGGAGTGTTCAAATAAGACCAAATATACATGACTATATTTATGAGTTCAGTGAGTATCACCATATGTTACTTAATATTCCTGTTAAACAGAGCATTTATGTTGTGCTTTCTAGCTTTCATAAGCAGCGTTTTCATCAATGCCATTCTCATTGGTGACTGCAAGATCTTAGTAAATATGAATCGGTATCAAATATGTGTATATCAGAGACACTCCCATGACCGCTCACGTGATTCCTGAAGATACATATATAACCCATAACTATATCCAAGCCTTTGTTATAATTTTATTTAGTGTTGAGACGCAAAATTGATCGCAGGAAGACAAAGGTATTTGGGTCAGTACTCGTAAGAATTTGGCTTACAATTCTATGGTGTCGCTTATAATGATATTTTGTTATCTTATTGTAGTTATCGAATATCATATAGAGATTATTGAGTTAATCACCCGTCGCAAACCCTTCTGAACCGGTGCCCTGATTGATTATGAATTAATAAAGTGGCTTGTCAATTAAAAGTGTCCAGAAAAAAAGGTTCCATGGACATGGTAAAATAAAAAACATGTAGGGTTGATTAATTCTAACGCTGATGATTTGAAAGTTACTAGAACTTCATAAGTCAAAGTACACCCGTGTGTTTCCTTTGAGATTAAGAATCCATATACAATGGAATTGTAAGCAATTATTTTGTTCTTAGGTAATGTGTACCCAAACTGATTCAATACAAATACAACAACAAATGTCAATACCAGCATCTAACGCAGCCAAAGGGCACCTGCATGTTATGAACACGATAAGAAATATAGGTTCATCAATATTTGATCAAATTAATTTGGGTAGTGGAACAAGGTCGAAAACAGCGTATAAATCTTTTATGGACCCTTGGTTCATATGTGCCTTTTATCTAGGCATTGATCGCAATTTGGCATGTGTTAATCACGCGCATATGGTGCCAAGGTAAAGAGTGTTAAGCAGTGTCTGCTACCTGAGATGGAAGGTTAGTCCGTCAGATGTAGTTACATGATCAGAGGACTACAGTCCATTACAGGATTCTACACCATGGAAACTATGGCAACGTCACAATGTCTGTGAGGGAGGATCGTGTAGGAGGCTGCTACAGTAGCCTTAAGGTATTTGTGTGGAGTGTCAACGCGTTCTGTACATAACGTTATACAATATGTGTGTTTGGGTGGACGTACGCCACCATGCATTGATTACCATTTTCACCAGATGAACCGCAAGCCAATTTGGAAAAGTTGTAATTTGATAGGGCGAACATGTTGTCTTTTGTAAAAACGTTCCCTTCTGAAGTGAGGGCAATGGGGTAGCCTAGTGCTCTCCGCAAAAGTACAGTGTGTGAGTCCACTTTTGGTGTCACTCTTTGATATGGCTGGAATATTGATAGAGTGGCATAAAACACTGCATACTCACTTACCCTTTCTGTATTTTTAGAGACACAAAGAGAAAATTCATACATTTGCAAAGTTTCCAGTTGTAATCTGCTTTTGCGGCAGTGGGGTAGCCTAGTGGTTAAAACGTTCGCTCGGCAGGCCGCAGACCCGGGTTCGATTCCCCACATGGGTACAATGCGTGAAGCCATTTCTGGTGTCCCCCGCCGTGATATTGTTGGAATATTGCTAAAAGCGGCATAAAACCATATTCACTCACTCACTGACTCACTATATCTGCTTTATGTTTATGCTGTATAGTCAGTACAATTTGGTAAAATGTGTGTGTGTGCAATCGGAAGCGTACAATCGACTCTGCTTTGGGCAGATGTTTCTTGTTACTATGGAAATAGTTTTGTCGCTTTTATCATTATACAGTTACATGGGAGTATTCAGAAAATGTACCAAGTAACAACGTTTCAATAATCGAACAGTCTAAACCAAGCCACCGTGAAAGAACTATCGAACTTTCCGTATTTCGAGACAACCGGAGACAGATAAGGATTCTACCTCGATCATGAATACATAACTCTTCAATTTAATATAATTTTACAATGGTCAGCCACTTTTGCCATGTCAATCCGACACGTAGGTCTAGTGCACAAGCGACATGGTCGACCACTATTGCCATGTCAATCAGACATGTAGGTCTAGTGTACACGGGACATGGTCGTCCACTGTTGCCATGTCAATCAGACATGTAGGTCTAGTATACACGGGACATGGTCGCCCACTATTGCCATGTCAATCAGACATGTAGGTCTAGTGTACAAGGGACATGGTCGACCACTATTGCCATGTCAATCAGACATGTAGGTCTAGTATACACGGGACATGGTCGTCCACTGTTGCCATGTCAATCAGACATGTAGGTCTAGTATACACGGGACATGGTCGACCACTATTGCCATGTCAATCAGACTTGTAGGTCTAGTGTACAAGGGACATGGTCGTCCACTGTTGCCATGTCAATCAGACACGTCGGTCTAGTGTACACGGGACATGGTCGACCACTATTGCCAGGTCAGACATGTAGGTCTAGTATACACGGGACATGGTCGCCCACTATTGCCATGTCAATCAGACATGTAGGTCTGGTGTACAAGGGACATGGTCGACCCCTATTGCCATGTCAATCAGACACGTCGGTCTAGTGTACAAGTGTCAATCAGACACGTGGCAAAGTCAAGCGCGGGTCCTGCGATAAAAGGTGGAGGCTGGTGACTGACAATGATATTGTAGATGAGACGCGGCACACTGTTGACTGACCATACGTGTAACGCAACACGGTACGTGACAGTCTGACAGGGATTCACCTCAGGGTGAATTGTAGAATGCTTTGTCTCTGTAGAGACTGGACCCTAGGGCAGCGGCTAGGCAGGTGGGTTGACTAACATTGAATCCTGGCCATTACTGTACAATCATAACTATGCATTTGTTCTAAACTGGGACTAAAAGTGTTGTTGATCCACTGATGGAGTCGTGTGTTTGAAGGCCAACAGATAGATATGCAACAAACTCGGGATATACTGAGTGTGTTATACTAAGAACATTTTGTTACATAAAAGCCAAACTCAGAGTCTCTGCCAAACACTATTCTCAAGCTGCATCCATTCAACTTATCTTGTCTCACGCACACCGTAACTCATGTAGTAGCACCTCTTCCGAATTGTTATTAAAAACATCATAATTTGTTATAATATACATGTATAAAAGAACGAAAGAAAACTCCTGTATAATTATTTTCAAGGATATTGTTCGATTTCTTGTCGCAATCAACGACAGGCTCGTGCGGAAAATGTAAATATTTGATTGTTCACTCTGTTGAAAGGGAAAAAAGTAATGATTTCCTCAGAGGTGTGTGTGAGACATCGTTTGGCAACGCCGCGACTTCCACAGTGGTATTGATTATCAATGGAAGGAGTTATTTACACATCTATCCTTTTCAGAATGATCCCAAGAGAAAGCCTAAGAGCATAGAGATCAAACAAAATGTTCCTCACCACACAGAGCTGGGACACCGACAGCAACAACACTTCTTCAACCATGGCACAACGATGTTCTGATTTCTTGAAGAGGAAGAAAAGGATACTTATTTGTCTCATTGTCTTGGGTCTTTGTACCATGTATATTACACATAACTACACAACTGGCTATGTTTCGTCTTCTTCGAACCTACCCATAGTACTAGGCGATAGTGTCTATCATAAACCAAGAAGGAAATGTCCCAATGTCCTATCGTCAATGTTGAAGGGTACCTGGAAAAAGAGGAAACTGACCTATCTAGAAGAAACGGAAATGGAACTGTTCCTTTTAAAGACTCGTGGTGGACACAACATACCGATGACGCTTGATCGCCTGGATGGACGATGTGGAAACGTGACGTTTGATTCGTTGGCATCATATAAGCTCCACCCTTTACTTTGGTTCCGTGCGCTGTGTAACCCAAGGGGAGATAAGCCATGTTGTTTTAATGGCATGTGTGTCAGAGCAACTGAAGAGCAGTGTCGCTGCCCTGACTGTTATGACATGCGACAACAGATTCATGCAGAGTATGCTACATGGACACCTGCTAACCCAGACTGCCAACCAAAGCAATACACACAGGCAGAAGCGTGTAGTCTTCTCAAGGGGAGTTTACTCTATATCACTGGAGACTCATTTATACGTCACATCTATACGGCTCTTATATTATTGCTGAGAAATGATTATCAACACGGGGCAATACTTCCGACAGCATCAGAGGGTATGTTCATCTTCCTGAAAAATCTAAATCTGCTTCAAAGTGGTTTGGAAATTAAATGTTATTTTGTGCATATTAGTATAATAGGTATGCGATCTGATTTCCATCCACGTTGAGATGCCACGGTATGATTAAAATGGAACTGTACCAAGCGGCATTACACCTATCGCACTCAACTATTCTTAACAATAAAAGGATATGTGTAAACCTGTATGTCTATATTGTAAAGTGTGAACTGGTCGAAGTAGTTAACAAGTAGACGCGTGAAGATCCGGGGTAGAATAGGTCTTCAGCAAACCAATGCTTGCCGTAAAAGGCGACTATGCTTGTCGTAAGAAGCGACTAACGGGATCGGGTGGTCAGGCTCGCTGACTTGGCTGATGCATATCATCGTATTACAATTGCGTGGATCGGTGCTCGTGATGTCAGTCACTGGATTGTCCGGCCCAGACTCGATTATTTACAGACTGCCGTCAAAAAGCTGGAATATTGCTCAGTGCGGCGTTAAAAAACAAAGAAACAGAAACAAACAATTAACAAGTACGCAAAATGCAATATACTAGACAACAACCCACCTCATTTCTCATTTGGGCAGTTAGATCAAATGCCTAAGATCATATAAATAGTTGTTTAAGGAGCAAACCAGTGAACGTCTATTTTGAAACCCTTTCTCAGGGGTTTTGTGTGCTTGTCAATAATCGAGTCTGGACCAGACAATCCAACGATTGACATCATGAACATTGATCTTCGCAACAGTGACACGATAAAATTCATCAATCAGGCAAGCGAGCCTAAAAAATCGATCCCATTAGTTGCCTCCAACGACAACCATGTGTTGCTGAAGACCAATTCTAAACCGGATCTTCACGGGTTTTCTTAGGGGTAGTGAACCTGTTTTAGTTGACTGAAATAGAGTGGGCTGATACAGAGTTACCTGATGTCACGGCGTGCAGCAGGCTTTCTGAAGCGATATATCCAATAGTCTAGGAATATGAGAAACGGTTGTTAATTTACACCCAAAGACTGGAATCTGTCAATACTCAAAACTAATCCAAACCTCGGGCAATTCTTGAACAAACGTACTGTCCGGAACATTATTTTATCTTCAAGTGAGATCTCACTTACCCGGACGTGTTCATGTCGTGTTTCCGGGTTGTTATTGATGCTCCGTAATTCGGATTAACGTTTTCCACACTATCGCTACGCTGTTCCATTCAATAAGCTACAGTAAATTAGATTCTTCTCGTCATAATATGCTCTGCTGTGCATGTTATCACTTTTTTATGCCAATGATACATCATGTGACTTTTTCTGTTTCAGTTTTGAAGAAAGAATGCCAGGGAATGTACATGTTCACAGAAAAGATGTGTAGACAATGGTTGGACAGACGGGTGACAGTCTGCGATGGAACAGTTAACGTGGTCTTCAACGAACAAATAGCATCAGCATACGGCGCTTCCTTACCACGACTTACGCACAGCTTAGCAAACACCAGTAAATCCCTTCTAGTCATTGGCATAGGGATACATGAAAATTATAATCCAAGACCCATAATGTTTTCATATTTACATCCCTTGTTAGACTATCTTTTCAAATCCAGACAAGCATGGCCCAGAGTGTTATGGGCGGGGCCTCATGCTCCAGGAATTCTGAAAACTCCAAGGATACCCCAGCAGAATTACCAAAGTGTTCTGAAGTATAACTCAGTTATCAACGACTATCTGACGTCGTTGACTGTTCCTGTGTTTGATACGTTCAATCTGACGGATGGTGTGATGAGTTTTGATGGTGCCCACTATGGTCTCGGGGTAAACAAAGTCAAGGTGCAAATTCTATTGAACTACATTCAAGAGCTTTCAGATCAAGGGATGTGGTAAAAAGAAGCAGCCGAACCACTTTTCTGCAATACCTTGATGAGATTATGTTGCCTTATGTTTCACTGCATGACTAAACTATCGCAAAAGAAACCTAGTTGTGCCAACATTGAAGTTACCAGCTAATAACCCATATGAATATATTAGTATCTTATACAAGTATTGATTGGAACAAAACTGCTGATACTGCACTGTTGAAGCAAGAAGTGGTACTTCCAGTCAGGAACATACCCATAGGGCAGGGCCCCGTTCACAAACTTATCGTTGCGCTACGCCCATCTTCGCCTGTGTTAAATTATGAAAGTCGTAGCGCTACGATCGCTTTGTGAAACTGGACCCTATTACTTTTTCTGCTCGTTCAACAACATTTTTGTCAGCCACCAGTGGTGGTATCTCAACAGATATATGATCAATATAGATACTATATTTGACACATTCAGGTACGCAAATAATATAAGTCAATATAATAATTGAATGGGGCCCATTAATAGTTTGTCTACGTGAAATACATTTACAGTTTCTCTTTATAAATTCGGTTGGCGAATATCATTATTTATTGTTATTTTGATAAACACACCTGGTCATTTCATAAATTCTTCATATTTAGGGAAAGCAATGAATTCGTTTTTGGGTGCGAAACAACTCTTTAAAGCTTGTTTACGGAATGTATTTAGATACAAGATCAATGTTCAACTGTGGCCTCTCAATAAAGGTTTATATTTGTTGGTTTTTATGTTTACAGTGCCAACAGTTGGTATCGAGAATATGAATAAATGGCTTATGTCTTCCTTTGAACATGTTGTCACTCTCGAATTTCTTGTGAAGAAACTATTTCCTTGAAATTCCAAATTACAGTTATTGTCTATGCCAACTATATGGGACAATGACCTTTACTACCACTGGTGATATCGGAGAACTTTACAGTGACTCGCATATGTAGGTTCTTGCGATTTCAAATATTATCGCTTCCATTTTGTTTGGACTTGTTTCTTTTCTTGTGACAAAAAAAAATACGAAAAAGGACACCTTGGAGGCATTATAATTCTCTATGTTTATCTGTGTGTGTGTGTGTGTGTGTGTGTGTGTGTGTGTGTGTGTGTGTGTGTGTGTGTGTGTGTGTGTGTCCTCACCCTCGAATTTATTGTGAAAATCCAAATTACAGTTATTGTCTATTCCATCTATATGAAACAATGACCTTTACTTACCACTGGTGTATGTACATATGTATGTATTATCGCTTCCATTTTGTTTGAATTTTTTTACATTTTAATTATCTATGTTATCAAGTCTGGGAAATCAATTCGGAAATATCACAGGAACCTGAAGCAATGATTATAATAATGTAATTGTATGTATTTAACGATGAAAGACCTCTCTATCTATATAAATATACAAAGCCCCCTCTTCACAGTTGACGGATCTCCCCCATGTACCATGTCTCATTGGATGGAAATCATCAATGCAATCGGAAATTCTAAGGTGATATGGTGGTATTGCCTGCTCGTGTATTTATACATAGCGATGGATGGTTGGCAGCAAAATGGCATACAATTTAATTCTCTTTTCGGAACTTCATATACCAATGGAAATATCAAGGAATAGTGGGTGTTATTGACATGAAATATCGTGTTATAATTTGTCTTAAGTTCTTATTTAGCCAGGTGTTTTTTATGGCATATCATCCAACAGACAGGAATGTTGAGTGTTCATTACATTGTTGACATACCCTAAAACACGTGCCTACGGAGGTATCTCCCCTAACCAAGGTGTATATGTCCTGGACATAATTACACAGTCTATACATGGTATACTCTCAGACCAAGTGGCACAGTATCGACCACGGAAATAACTGACCTGAAAATAGCCAAATAATCAATTAATCGTCATAGGTTTTGGATCGAAGGTGGCCACAGCACAGAGAACCGTTTCAACCTGTGTTCCAATACCAGCAGAAACAGGCACCTCATGTTAAATACATGTGCTCATTTATCATACAGTAACAACTGCCTCGTGCCTTCTTTAAGTGTCGTATCTGTTTTCATTTTTAACTAATTTAGATTAGTCATCTCTCACTCTCTCTCTCTTAATCTCTCTGGGGCGGTCGGGTAGCCCAGTGGTTAAAGCGACACGGGTACAATGTGTGAAGCCCATTTCTGGTGTCCCCCGCCGTGATATTGCTGGGATATTGTTAAAAGCGGTGTAAAATCAAACTCACTCACTCACTCACTCTTAATCTCTATTTCTCTCTGTCTGTCTGTCTGTCTGTCTGTCTGTCTCTCTCTCTCTCTCTCTCTCTCTCTCCATGAATTTAAAAATGCATCTTAAAAAGACACGAGAACATATTATATAGGAATAAGGAATTTCTTCAGAAATCATTGTTGTCACTGATGCGTCAATTTTGTCGACCAGGAAACGTTTTGAAAGCTTTACTAATGCCTTGACAAAGGCATCTTCCCGACGTAAGAGAGTTAACTGACTTTCAAAGTCCAGTTTCCACCCATGCCGAACTAGGCCTGAATTCTATATCAAGATCTATATGTGATTAAATGGGTCTTACATCGCGAATTGCATCAAATCACGTGAGCACCTTGATTAAAAACATGAAAAGATTTGGAAAATATCTGTTGACAAGGCGTTGGCGGTGCACTTCCTTTGCAAATCCTGCAATCGACCGAAATCTGCACGACAGTTTACGAACCGAATTACGTTTCGTTGCGTGATTTTGATTGGACTATGCATTGACTCGTTAGTCCAGCCAAAATGTAACTCCATAATACCAGCCAAGTTGGGCAAGGGTGGAAACTGGACTTTTGTAGTCAGATAACTCCCTTACCTCGGGAAGATGTGGCAAAGAAAGATGGCAAAGGAAGATGTAAATTCCGAAATGTAATGTTATAAATTATTACAAAACAAAACTATTGAGATGAGGAACAATTAACTTCTTGGGGACAATATCTCATAAGTGGCATTAAACTTATTAAGGGGTTGACTTCTAGCAAACCGTCTCATTGCAGGCTGTGTCTGGCGGATACATCAAAGAGTTATTGTCGACTTTACATGTCCGATTTCACGTGAAACATTCACCAGGCCAACTAATTATAACCTGTCATGTGGTCTTGTGCTTAGTGCAGAGGGCAAATCAGGCAAAATCTAGAAATTCAATGGTTTCCCTTGTCCTGAATGTCGGCAGATGATACAACTCCAAAGTGGAAGTCAAGCGAGTGCGTGCGTGCGTGCGTGCGTGCGTGCGTGCGTGCGTGCGTGCGTGCATGTGTATATGTCTGTGTCTATTTCTGTATGTAGATGGTTGGTTGGTTGGTTTGTTGTTTAACGCCGCACTCAGCAATATTCCAGCTATATGACGGCGGTCTGTAAATAATCGAGTCTAGGTCAGACAATCCAGTGATTAATATCATGAGCATCGATCCACGCAATTGGGATCGATGACATGCATCAACCAAGTCAGCGAGCCTGACCACCCGATCCCGTAAGTCGCCTCTTACCTAAAGCATAGTCGCCTTTATGCTTTGAAATGTCTGCAAGTGCGGTCATAGCATTCATGACAATGTTACATGTACATACGACAATACACGATGATCATATGTTTCAAAGGTGTTGCTTCATATGAAACAAACGCCCAAAGTTAGTGCATTTCGGAAACATATGCAAATCCGGTCATAGCATGCATTTCCTTATGTATTTGCGTTTGTTTCAATGGTGTAACCACCCGATCCCGTTAGTCGCCTTTTACGACAAGCATAGTCGCCTTTTACGACAAGCATGGGTTGCTGAAGACCTATTCTACCCCGGATCTTAAAGGATACTGTATGTAGATGGTTGTGCTAAAGATATCCTGAATAACTCTAAGTATCATCTTATCAAAACGTAATATCTACATCATACATATTCTGTATCCATTTTAACAACACGAAAGGGCGATGGGTAATGTTAAATAAACAGTTAAATTAAAAAAATGTCAAGTGTGAGGATAGGTTTCCCGAATCTTTAGCAGATGACCGAGTAAGCAAAAGGTTGTTAACACCATAGTCATCAATATTCATACAGGGGAGGCACGTCAATCATCTACTTTGGGCCATGCAAACCACTAAAAAGCAATGAAGGTTATGGTGACATATAATCATCAAAGTCATTACATGAACTAACCACCCGATCCCCATTGCAGCCGGCATTACAATCCCAACAAATGAACCGACACATAAATCTGAAATAACATTTATCAACGAGTTTATGTTTCAAACTTACCATGAAATCTTGGGAAACGGGCGTAAAATATCCTATGCTGGCGTACATACACTTGAGAAAGAGCGAGTGAGTGAGTTCGATTTTACGCCGCTATTAGTAATACTCCAGCAATTTTACGGCGGGGGACACCAGAAATGGGCTTCACACATTGTACCCATGTCGGGAATCGAACCCGGGTTTTCGGCGGCTTACCACTGGGCTACCCGACCGCCCCAACTTGAGAAAATGGTTCGTGAAAGCATTGTAATTTACTCACGAGGCTACACATGCGAAAGTTGCAAGTTCGATCCACTCAAATGTAACGATTGATTGATTTTATATCATTCCTCACATTTCCTTATGTACATTGTGCTCACATGCCAAATATATCTTTTGCGAGGGACATGTACATGTTTTTTTGGTTTTGGTTTGGTAACCAATCAGTGTCAGCTTAATGTTGGAGGAAAGACGGAAGTAATTAAGGTCTTCGACGTTTACCACTTCGGTGAAACCCACGAGCACGGGTATGGTGCTGACAAACCTAGAAACATAATCGGGGCGAACCGGGATTCGTACCCACAATCATAGATTTCTGGCGTGCCCAAGGGGCGCAACTCTGCACAGCGAATTGCGGCGCCTTAGACGACTGGGCCACCCGTGACCCCCCAACATTTTCAGTTTGGAGTTGGGGAGGTCGGGTAGCCTAGTCGTTAAAGCGTTCGATTCTCGACGTGGGTACAATGTGTGAAGCCCATTCATGGTGTCCCCCGCTTGGATATTGCTAAAAGCGGCGTCAAACCATACTCACTCACTCACTCAGTTTGGAGTTACCAGGCAAATAAAATTATGTTTGAATTGAATCTAACTTGCTGAGATCGCCAATTGTCCAGAACTGCTACCATGACATTCTAGCTTCATAAGGAACAAGCCCAACCTGAGGATGCAAGTCATGTTTCGACTAAATAGTCATGTTCACGAGTTTCATATTACAGAATATATTAAGCATATGCTTCTAATATTTTTTATTATTATAACCTTCAGTGGAAATTGTGGTAATTCGTGTTTGCATAATGGAGGCTGCATCAAATGTAGGCATTAGTGTATGTTGTGATGTAAGGCATACCCCAGCTTCGCGAAAAAAAACCCATTACGCACGATGAATGTGCATTTTTCAAGGCCAAGCGTCACCTCTAAGAACAAAAAGTAAATATGACGCCGCGTGGTTGGTCTAAGTTTGATATACACCGGTAGCTCTTGAACATCTAATTTGTAAACATCTATTTGACATGTTAGCTGAGGACACATAAATATTACGCAAACGTTAATACCATTTATCTGAACCTCACCAGACGCAAAAAATAGTGTGTCCGATATGCTCAAAATAGAGAACGGGTGCAAATAATATCTGTTGCGAGTCTCATGTTCGTAAGATCTGTCTTATATAACTGTTCTGATAAGAAATGTAATCAATGTTCGGTAAATCAAAGTTAAAAATCTCAACTCAATCACCAAGTATACATGTAAACAAGGACATCCCCACATACACTCTCAAC